GGTTCAAGAATTTAGGGTTTAGGGTTCAAGAATTTAGGGTGTAGGGTTTAGGGTTGGTGGTTTAGGGTTTAGGGTAGGTATAATGAGGTTTCTGTACGGGGTGTATGGAATACATGAGAATGTATGTGAATTGAGATTTATGCTTCATATCCCGCAAAATTGACATGGAGCGCTCACCACAGGCCCTAGAACAAGGAGTACTGGCCCTTCTGAAAGGAGCTGTTTGGGGTTTCATGTTAGTTTGGGTTGGTTCCTGGGCAAGATGTAGGTAAACCATAGGTTGGGTAACCCCTGACAGACCAGGCCTGCGAGTCCACCGCTGATGAGGCCTGGGCAGCAGCAACCCTCACTTCAGCAGCATTCCCTAGATAGAGGGAAAGGAAGAGGCAACGGAAGCCAGTATAGTACTTGAGTACTGGGATTAAGGCTGATGCGTTTTAGGGATTTTTTTCTGAGTCATCGTGGATATAGTTTCAGTCTTTGTTTCATCATATTAAGCCAAATAAGAAATGTTAAAACTTTGGGGTGGTTAGTGGACAGGGCCCAGATAATTTGGATATGGTTTAGGGTTTAGGGTTTAGGGTTTAGGGTTTACATGATACTTGAGCTGTATAAGAAGGATCATGAATCAGGAAATTTCAGGTGGCTTGTCCCCCAAATCTTTAGCCTCTCTCTATATATAAGCTTTATGAAATATCAATCTTATGTAAAGGTGCCCGCCCGGCAACTCCCCACCTGACTTACAAAGGCGCATATTCCGAATTGTTCAGCACTACCTAAACCCGAAACTTGGACGCTGCCACCACTCAGCAGCAGTTGGATACAAGTTATGAGATAGTTTTCTGGACTGTTTACTGGGAGGGGTGGAACCTACAAACCCTAAACTCTAAACCCTAAACTCTAAACCCCAAACTCTAAACCCTAAACCCCTAAACCCTAAACCCCTAAACCCTAAACTCTAAACCCCAAACTCCATTTAAATGATGACTCAGGCCCCGCAGCCCACACCTGCTGCAGTGAGCCAGGAGCGTACGGCCTGGGCGTGAATTCCTTCGTCTTACTATATGGGAGTTTCTCAAAAAGGG